TTCCGCTGTTAAAAAGGACTTATTCCTTCCTAAGGTTAGAATATATGCGTAATTATCATATAAGGTTTTAAGGTATTTCATAAGGGACTGTGGAAGTTTCACCCCTACCGTGCTTTCATTATGTTCTCTCATGTACAGCCATACCCCGTCTAACGTGAGGCTGCTAAATCGCTAACTAAATGAGCACCATCTGGAATTATGTTTCTACGGTGATAAAGGAGATGCGTAGCCATAATCGTTGTTGACTGCCTGTTTCAAAAGATTCGTGCAGCTACCTTTACTTTTTTTACTTAGAATTTCCTATAATTTAATCCCTAAATGCAAAGTATAACAGATTTACTACTTTCCAGAAATCCCGTGATATGATAATTGTACCAGCAATTTTGTCACTTTCTCACTTTGTAACATTGTTCAAGTTCTCCTTTTAGTCAGTGCTAAATATCACGAATCCGTTAGTCATCTAGACAAAACCATGCGCTGCTGTTCACTTTGCGAATATCTCTGCTTTATTCGCTAGATGATTTTGATAGTTATTGATTGATTTGATAGTGCTGAGGTTATTTTTCTTGAAGTACTCTTGCTGCAAGAGCATTAGCAGCCTCGAATATTTTATTTCCAGAATAAGTTTTCACTCGGTTTCCACTGATCGGTCATCACTGAAATCTGTTCAGATTGTCTTGCGATTTTATTTGCTAGTTTTACCTCAACAGATATTCTTTTCTGTTTGATTCACCTTTATGCATCTTTCTCAGCAAGGTTCCCAACAGCAACGAGATAATCGCATGACAACACAGCGCTTCTGTTAGTTTGAACATCCGCTACTTACTCAGAAACTCCCCATCTTTCATGGCCGCTTCTCCTTGCGGGTTGCGGAGGCAGACGCGTCAGACAGTGCTTCCAGCGTTCCCGATCCTGTGCCAGAGTCTGAGATTCGGCACAAGACAACCGGAGTCTGGAGCAGACTCCTTCCATATATTTGCACCAGGTTAATCTTTGCAGTCCCCTGTGCTTTCTGCCGATCGGTTGGGCAAGAAACAGTTGCTTAGCATTCTTTTCTGGAGGCATTCCCAAAACGTGCCCAGACCATTGCAGTTCTGATTTCTCAATCTGCAAAAGCACCGGCTGGCTCTGACAACGGCTCTCGATATATTCCGAACCAAATCGAGATGAGTAAGACCTTCGACTCGTCGCAGAAAGCCCATTTCTGCGGCTTGTACCTGGATTCGAAGGTATTAAGTCATGTTCAACCACTCATGACCGTTGGCGAGCATGGGAATAACGATCTACTTGAATATTGAGAGCTTAGTTTTCAAATTCAACTCTGCTTTACTCACAGTGATTCGGGCTAGTTCACATAGAACGCCACTGGCTACTCCAGTTCGCTGCTCGATCCCCTCAAATTTTTCATCAGTAGTAAATACGACTCCGAGGTATCTGAACTTCTCCACCTGCTCCACTGCCTTTCCGTTAATCTGAAGAGACCAACGAGCAGGAGATCGACAAAACTCTAGGCTTTTCGTTATAGATACATTCATACGCATGCCCGTCACGTCGCACTCGGCTTCAAATCTTTCCAGGGAGCACTACAGATCAATTTCAGCAGATGCCAATAAAACAAGGTCGTCTGCAAATAGCAACCTTCTCGTCTCCACATATTCGCTGATACAGTCAGTACCTTGGTTGCTCCTGACTGTTTTATCCATGTACTGCACAAATTGGAGGGTGGCAGGACGCAGTCTTCGCGCAGACCAGTACCAGCGTTGAAAAGCTCCGATTGAACGCCATTTACTCTGACGCAGCATCTGCTATTAGCATATAGTGATAGAATTGCCCGTAGCAACTGGCCATCCATCCCCTTTGTTCGTAGGCGTGCCCACAGACTCCTTATGGGAGGCTCAATAAAGTAATGCCCAGAAAATTGGAGCACTCCCTATCTTCTCCCATCTTAAATGTTGGTACAACAACTCCCGTTCTCCGGTCCGCTGGTGTCTTCCTCGTAGTCACTACAATTTGACAGGCACGTGTGAGCCAGCAAATGCCTTATTCGCCTAATGCATGGAGCATTTCAGGGCGGATTTCATCAATTCCGGCAGCGTTTGTATATTTCAAGCTTCACTAATTGTGTGAGTTTATCTTCTGAAATGATAATATTTCTTCCATGCTTTTGTACAGGCGGTTGTTTCTGCCGTTGTTCGGGTTGAGGTGTTGCTCAGAGTACTCTCTTCGTCGCCGAAGAATGTCCTTATCATCGGAAGGAGGGTGTCCAGTCCTCTACTTCAAGGCTGTTAGACTGTTGTTCTTTTCACATCAGAGCCGGCAAATGGTCTGCCAAAATTCCTTGTTTGCCATGTGGAAGTTCCACTCACCGAACTCCTCCCAGGAATCAGCTTTTACTTTCGCCACTGCTTTCGCTGTCATCTTGCGTGCTTCGGCATATCGTCTGCGAGTAGAAGGCTCTTTGTTTCCAAGCAGTTTATTGAACGCTGCTTTCTTTTTAACTGCCAGTTGTACCTCTCGTGTCCACCAGGAGGTTCTTCTCTGACCTGTAGCGGGCAAGCAAACTCATTTAAATCCGCAGCATTCGTCGGCAGGGGGAGTATGCCGCTCTTAAAGAGCTGCCACTCGGTTTCCACAGTAGGTGTTAATCACCGGGATCGGTTCAAACCGTTGTGCGATGTTGTTTGCAGAGTTCGCTCTGATGTCCACTGAAGATAATTTTTCCCATTTGATTCTCTCGTTTCTTCTGCCACCAGATCTTTGTATGGTGCACCATTCTTTCACCAACATGCCAATAGCAAGTTGGTGATCGTTTGGTAGCACTGCATCTCTCTTAACGCGAGCATCGATTGAAGAGCGTCTTAAGTCAGACGACAGGATTACGAAATCAAATATCGACTTTTGTGCACAAGCTTCCCTGTACCAGGTATACTGATGCTCTCTTCGATGCTCGAATAAGCTGGCCATAATGGAGAGCCGGTTGTTTGGACAAAACCGCAACAACTCCATGCCGTTATTGTTTAGATCGCCAGAGCCATTGTTTCCAACTACGCCTTTCAACTCTTCGCAGTCTAGTTCGTAGTGCGGATTAAAATCGCCCATTTGAGTGACGTTCTCCGCATTCAGCACTTCGTACAGAACACCTTCGACTTCCTCAAGTAAGGGCTCATACTCTGCGTCCAAATTGGATGCAGCGAGCTGTTACGAGGCCAGCGCTTTAGCCTGTTATAATTTCAGTAGGAGGATTGCATTGCCACATTCTGTTTGCATTGCCACATTCTTTATTGAGTGATTCTGCCAGGCGGGTTAACCTGTCTTGAGCGTGTGCCGTATGTCGTGTTGTCGACGCCTGAGTAGAATAGCTTCCATCCGCTAAGGTTCAGGAGTCCAGAACCCTGGCACTTCGTTGACGAGGGTCCAACTATCCCGAGTTGATATCTTATGGCCTCATCAACTAACTCTTGTTCTTTTCTTCTGAGTGAGGATAGGTTCCAATTTCCACTTTATGCTCCCACTGGTGGTGTCGTTCTCGTGGACCCTTTTCTGGCGTGCTGTAATGACGTGGCGCTGTCTTCCTTCACCGTTCAGAACGGGTAACGACTCCGTCGCTTGTTAGTATCTTCGTCGTCGTTCCGTCGATATTAGAAAAATATGATTATGAAATCGTTCATTGACTTATGGGCAGAGGCTTCGCTTCGTCGGATGTGCTTATGCACGTTCCGATTCTCGAAGGTGATCGTGACAGACGATCCATTATTTTTACAGATATTAGTTAAGATGCTGCGGTTGTTGTTAAGATCGCTAGGGTCGTTCTTCCATATCACTTGTTTGCACTTTTCAATATCTGCTTCCTCATCCTCATTTAATCGCCCATCAGACTGCTGGATTCCGCAGTGGGGACGATGTTCGAAGTTTCTTCTACTTGAAAGAATGACATATTGACCTGTAACAGGGCGAAATGTTTCGCTTGTTGTTGCTTTATCAGAGGATTATCGTTCTTTCGCTGGCATGCTTTGCTTCAGTAGCCTTGTCAGCTAGACTGGGTTCTATCAGAACACCTATATCAGCCTGACCACGGGTCGTAGAATCGACATAATGGTGGAAATGCCTTCACCCAACAGTGTTTCAGAACTTCACAGCCGCGTCTTTTCGATGACGATACTACAACTGTATTCAGTTGATGCCTTGGTCTCATCAACCAGCTCCTGCTCTTTCTGTCTGCTTGATGAGAGTTTTGGTGTCGGTATGGTTCCCGTGAATCTTTGCCTGACCTGCCTTATTGGTATCGCGCTGTCTGCCTCCTTCATTCATGGCGGGTAGCGACTCTGCTGTTTACAGGTACCTTCGCAATTTCGCGTAGATCTTCAATAACCATTGTCGTGCTGGTGCGCCCCTGCTGCTGGAAGGCTCGAATCAGGTTCAGATCGCCGACGTTTTGCTATTTTCCTCAGTTCTCCAGCTGTTTCTACGGCCTTTGGTACCATGCCAACCTTCGATCCGATATATAGTTCCATAGCGTAGACAGCATGTAGAGTTTGCCGCTAAGTTTTACTCTAGAATTCGTAACGGTTCCCATTCCTTGTCTTTTCAAATCCATTCCTGTAATTTTCAAGTTAGGAGTTGCGAAAGTAGTGTGTTGCTGTCTATTATTTCAGATGAATATGTTAGTTAAGAAAGAGAAGCATGACTTGTGTTGCTGTGCGTATATTTCATGCTCATCATTGTTGGACTTTAGGCTTTCAAAACGCTTTGTTACCCTACCAATGTGATCAGTGTCCGCGACGATTCGCCCAAGAAAATCATTTGCGACGACATCAGGATATGGCTCATGCGAAAAAGAGACCTTTTTTCTGTCGTTTTTGCAACCGCGATCTATTTCTCGCATCCGAATTGCATTTTCAAGGGCATCTTCGCATGCAGCATAAGCAAGAGTATGAAGTGGATGCGGCATATGGACAGAGTAAGTAATCTTATTTGTCAGTCATTGCGTCACAGGTTTGCTGGCTTAGCTTTCGCACGACCGACGGCGCCTTCGCAAACGTACCCAAAGAGTACGACGACCGTTAATGGTGAAGAAACCGAAGAGGAGGAGCCTGATTGGGATAACACCGAGACGGACAGAATTCGCAATACAACTGGCATGGATGGCGATGAGCGTGCTTCTGCAATAAATGAATTAAAATGCACAATTTGCGAAAAGATGTACGTGAACGCAATTTTGTTGAGAAGGCACTTGAGAGAAGACCACGGTGTTACAAACGAACCGGTACTGGCTGTTGAAGCTACTGCTGAGAGCTAGTCCTGTTATAATACTACTGAGCTTATACCTGTTTTTAGCGATTAATGACTTTGACCCAAACCGCTGAGCCGACAGCAGTCGCTGCGTTCCGCTGTAGTTTATGCGACAAAGGCTTCCGAAAGCAAGAGCACCTGGACAAACATCGAATTGTGCATACGGAACAAGTTCCCTTCACCTGTCAGTATTGCCCAAAGCGTTTCAGATGGAAGGAGAACCTGATCAAGCATCTTATGTGGCACAACGAACGAATGCCATTCAAGTGTTCGGCTTGTGATCGAG